ACATAGTTAATGCATGAATAACCGAGTTAAACTGTCTGAACGATTTTCTTACATAAGTTGACCGGTACCCAATGAAAGGGTGAGGTGCATGAAGGCACTGGAATCTTTCAGATTTGAAATCTCTTTCGCCTTTACTTAATTTTAATAGGTCATCGGTAGGCGTAAACAGTTTATAATTTTATCCGAACCGACTGTTAGCAGATCACTATCAAAGCAGAAATATTTATAGGTAATAAAAAGTAATTAAATAGCAATTAAATAAATATAAATAATATAGTAATTAAACAGTATCTGTAGGCTTACGTTCCTACTTAAACGCCAAGCTTCTCTAATATTTTGTTACTGTATCCTGTATAATTAGGCGGACCCATGATACGAAAGTGAAAGATAATTTAAACAGCTCCCCTGTGAAATATTTGAAAGTTTTTCTGCCACTTCGCTGAAATTTTTGCAATCTGGCATCTTTTGCATGGCACACAGTTTTATTACATATTGTTAAGAAGCATGCTATTATCAGCAAGCACATTTTGTTAAATAGCCACTGCTGTGACAGAAAATTGACTGACACAACAACATTTTGTTAGTTTTATAGCAACGTTGGTGCGTCGGTGCACGTACCACGGACAAAATTCCGCTCGGTTAATCTCCTCGGCACTCAGCTTCTTGTCGACTTCCTCTTATTGTTTAAGGTGTCGGTTTCCGGTGGTATAACATGCTTAAATAGATAGGCCTACTATATCACAACTGAGAATATAATTGTTTAAAGCATCGAACCAAACAAACTGTTTCCACGACCATTTACGAGTGTTATTCTTATTCCAGATTATTTTCACTCTTTGAAGCGGAAAAAATTGTTCTGATTTCAAAACCAGGACATTCTACTCAGGTTTCAGTTCGTCTTGGTGGTCCATTTATATTTCATATCTAAAAAGCTAATTACGTTTAATTACAACCATAATTCTCTAAATCATCTAACCATGACTTGAATTCATTAATATCGCACGATGATGCATATGGTACATTCCCAGATGACATCTAAGCTCAGATGAATTAATATTCGAAAAACAATAAACAAAATACCAAACACGAAACTTCAATGGTTAATGATTTTCAATGTTAAAAGCGCAAAGAAAAGACTTCATGCGCTGTAAAAACATTGAGATGTTTGGAAACTTAATGTGAAAGAATAAGAAAGCCTGCAGCACCCAAATTGCAGTTTACCACTGTAGTCCCTGTGGTAAGCCCGATAGCAATAGGTGCTTCGAAAACAGAGCTGCTGTTGGGTATGCGGGCCTACACATTTTCATGACTCACAAATTCACATAAATACACTGAATAGGTTGTCGGTAGTCTCTTACGATCCATCATTCTGAATTGATTGTTATGCTTAGATGATATTCGAAAACACAAATCATCAAGGTGTTAATAGATTGCATAATTTTACTTATTATGATTTCAACGACACCCAGCGCCAACATAGTACGTTTCCATATCAGTACATTATTATTATTATTATTATTATTATTATTATTATTATTATTATTATTATTATTATTATATTATTTATTTATTTATTTATTTATTTATTTATTTATTTATTTATTTATTTATTATTTATTATTATTATTATCATTATTATTATTATTTATTATTATTATTATTATTATTATTATTATTATTATTATTATATTATTTATTTATTTATTTATTTATTTATTTATTGTCGTTGTTGTTGTTGTTGTTACTATTATTATCATTATTACTTTTAGTATATGTGTAGAGGTTCAGAATTCCGTTAAGTAATTTAGTTTTAAGAAATACGATTAGATATGGGAGAAGGGGCTTAAGGATGAAATAAGTTGTTAACTTTAAATGAAACACAACGATTTTTTTTCTATCAAGAAAATTTGAATTTAGTATAAGCCAATTTAATGGCCGTAATATACAAATGAAATAACATCTGTATTTGTATGTTTAGATGTTGACGAGCTCTTTTTTTAACGCGCCATGAGAGTTTCTTCGGAACAGGCACCGGCGCTTGCTCGGCATCATTATTAATATCATCTCAATCTATATTAACAAAATAATAATAATAATAATAATAATAACAATAATAATAATTCCATTATTCTATAGCGCATTCCGCAAAAAGCCTCAATGCTCTTTACAAAAAGAAAACAAGCAGTAATTTAATAAATTTTGACTTAAACTACGGTACTTAAACTAAAACAGTTCCGAAAAAGCATTCATAATAGACCTAAGTTACTTAAAAAGTAACCCTGTTATTTTTTGTGAGGCCTTTAAAATCCCCACTACTTTCCAACCTACTATGGAGACAGTTAAGAGCTATACCTTCATATCTTAAAAGTTGTAAATTTATTTGCAGGCCTATTTCTGAATTATCCAGGTGATTGTCCTTGGGCATAATATCATTGAACCGGAATAAATCTCATGTCGTCTGTTTCAAGTGCAATTTAATTAGGTTGTAACATAATCCTCTTTTCATGGCGTGGATTTATCTTTCGGTCTCAGATACGTAACAATTGTTTTTGATATTCAATATTAAGAGAGAATTCTAATAACAAAATTACAATTATATGAGCTTCCTTGAAGGTAATTTGCGACGAAGTGTCATTTTACTATGAAAAAAAAGTAAACTATTTGACTACAATCATTTCCGATTTATATGAGTTTACATAGATTTTTTTTCAAAATTGCTATTAATTATTGAAGGTATGTGGTATAATTAATGTCCTCCATAAAATGTCTACAACGCAAAAAACACATTTCGAACGTGTACGGTAATATTGAGACAAGTTTATCGATAATTGGTGAAGGGGGAGAAAAGAAAGTGGTGTCGAGACGAACCGACCTCCTTGAGGGGACAGACAGAGTGATGTTGATGATGAGTTTATCTTTAACATTACCTTTAGTTATGCAAAGGTCATGTGAAAGTTATGCGAATGTTATGGGAAAGTTATACTTTTTCTGATGTGTGCAGCTGATAAATTCGTTATCCAAGAAATTGATTTAAAGTGAAATTTTTAGTGTTTTGGTCAAATAAAACTAGTCTTCTATTATTGTAGTTGTTAAAACAGTATGGATCTGGAAATGGCATCTTTACGAATACTTTACCTGCCATGCTTCCGTCCAATTTACCAATTATCTAGTTATGTTGGCCTCGATGGTTCAAAATAAAGAATGTATTGTAGGTGAATTGCTATACAGTAGGATGTAGTTAGGGCTTCAACTGCATGGTAACGTGACTGAAAGTTCCGGGCATTTGAGGTCAAACTCACAATGATAATTGCATGTGATACCGAAAGAAACGGGTTTTATGAAGTACCGTTAAGCGGTGCGTATATCGCGTTAAGTCTTCGATGAATTTGTCGTGAGAGGGCGGGAGACATATACCGTCGTATCAAATTTAAATACCGTACAATTTAAACATTTTTCTACGCTATAATATGATTAATTTTTTTCGTGAATTTATTTAAAAACATCCAAAAATATTATTCTGTTTAACACAGCAGGCGCTCTATACTGCAGGTACAGTGTGCAACTTTACTCAGTAAAATATTGAACAAACTGTATCGTATAGCCATATAAGATCATGAAAAATCCAACTTGCTTTTTGAAGATTCGTTTGTGCATACGTTTTCCCCACATAGCCCGGCTTTAGGGTAAAACAATTTTAGTTCAATTAATCAATCAATCAATCGGACATTTATAATGCGTATACGTGTCTACCTGTGGAGAGATGCCTGAGGTGCCGCCGTCTCAAAATTGCTTTCCCAGCAATAACATAAAGTGTTGAGAGTCGCTTTGGTAGCATTGTCTGATTGATGAGTGCTAGTTATGGAATTACGATTGATAGCTTACAAGATTTAACAAATTAAACTATTATTTACCAAAATATGGTCAAATGTGAACTATTTTAATAGGATTAACAAGGAAAAAACTTTTAGTGATTGATTGGTTGGTTGAGGATGTGAATTTATTTATGGAGAAACAGATTGTTATACCGAAAACCAGTAGTTGAAACTATAATTTCATAAGATTCCTAAGTATTCTGCCCGGTATTCTGTTGAAACTGACCATAACAATTCACCTCATTTCCATATTTGCAAAGTATTGTCGGTTTTCTTCAACTTCCCGTTGTGGTAGAACGCATATATATTGATATTTTACCTTTTATAATTTATTATTAATTAATTGATATTTTTATTCTTGAAACTCGTTACCAGCAACATCTTATCCCCTTTCGTATGTTAACCAATTTGATTCAAATATATTGTTAACCTGGTTTCTTATAATCTGATAGAGTATTAGGTTTATTATAATTTTACATATAAAATCAGTTTCAAGTTTAGTTTAACTTTGCTTTTTACTATAACCTGGCTAGCATCTTTCTCTAGGGTGCCTGCTCTATCTATCTATCTCTATCTATTAGCCTCTATCTCTAAGCACAAGGTCGCACGTGGCGGGAAAATGTGTAACATGTTAGGCCTACATTGTTCGAGTAAATAATGCTAGTGAGGGTTCCGAGAATACGCCAGAGTGGTGGCGGATTGTGACCCAGTAAAGACTTTTGCATTCTGTTGTGCCAGTCTGTCACGACTTCAAAACATTGTTCAGTCTCTCTTTCTCACCCCACCCTCTCCCTCTCTCTCTCTCCCTCCTTTGCGACACCCTTATTAAGGGGACACCCTATCATTAAGGGGACACCCTATCATTAAGGGGACACCCTTATTAAGGGGACACCCTATCATTAAGGGGACACTTTTTCGGGCACTAAATGAGGGAAAATATAGCCTTTAAAGCATATTTCTGAATAAACCTTAATGTTGGCATGCACGTTTTCGTTTGATATTTTAAAGTTGGGTTCAACTATATCTGTCTCTTATACACATCTAGATGTGTATAAGAGACAGTATATATACCATCATAGGCAAAAATTACTGCAGCATATTGTGACAGTACGTGTTTTTAATTGACAGACGTCAGAGTTGTCGGTATATCGTCTGCATCGGACGGATATGTAGAGCTCGTCAACGAAGGCACATGGGGTAAAGTTTGTGCAGATGGTTGGGACATCGAAGACGCCTCCGTAATCTGTCGTCAACTTTATAATACAACCGCCAGTCGAGCCTATTCCATTGAATATGGGGATAGTGGTCCGAATTCTGTGCTCACGTCTAACGTTCAATGCACTGGTCGGGAAAGTAGGTTCTCAGAGTGCGTACATGGACCTTGGGAATCTACGTGTCCATCAAACGCAGTTGCTGCGTTGGAGTGTGAAGGTAAGTTAATGACTCGGTAAACAGTTCTTACATCACAAGTTATCCAACTGCTACTGTGGCTATTTCGAAACAATCAGTTTAAACCAAGCAGAAATTGGGCCATATTACAAGGCAAGCAAGACTGATATTGTAAACGTATGTAAATAGTCAGTATTGGCTGCACTACACTTTTATGAGATACTGATGACTGATTTTTTTTCTCTTTTGTGTCGATTATCCATAGGGGCAACAAAGATCCGACTCGCCAATGGTAACACTCCTTTAGAAGGTCGAGTTGAGTTGTTCTATAATGGTGAGTGGGGAACGATATGTGACGACGGATGGGATTACTTCGATGCAGTGGTTGCGTGTCGTCACCTCGGCAACTACGCTGTGAAATCAAGCAGTTCCGCGAAGTGCTGTGGCGCCTATGGAGCCGGGACTGGAACCATTCATCTTGATAACTTAGGCTGTACAGGAACTGAGGCTCGAATCGAAGACTGTATTCACAGTGGTTGGGGAAGTCACAACTGCGGTCACCATGAAGATTCGGGTGTTACGTGCACTGGTATGTTTTACTTTTGAATTATTTTGCACAAATAGCAAATTAATCTGAAAAATCTTTTTTATAGCAGCTATTTACAGTGGCGTATCTAGGAGGTGCACGGGGCTCGTCTCCCTAGTGGCATACAGGTACCCCACCCTCTGCAAAAATTTGAAGCAAACTATTACCACTAAGTAGTTATAAAGTAGTTACAAATCACCTATCTTTTTTTTTCTCCGCACTAGATCATCGAGCCCCTCCCTTACCTTCATGCCCCCATCAAGATACCCATTTCAGGATACGCCACCCGACATTAAACACCTACATGTGAATAAACGCCGTCCGTGACTCGTGTACTTGGTTTGTGCGCTATGTCAATTTTTATGTTTTTTATGTCTCTGTCAAGCATAGTCTTCTTTATTTCATACCGTTCAAGTTTGTTTTTTTTTTTTGTTTTTTTTTTTGTGCCGTTCTTTAAAAGGTTAAGCATGGTCAGGCGGGATCGCCCTACTTTCTTTTTTCTCTTCAGGTTCCCAGAGAAGAACTTCAGATCCATATAGACGAATGGACTCGACAGATGACAAAAAAAAGACGAATTTATGTGGCCTTTTTGATAAAAGATCACATTTTGGAAAGTGCATTCAGTGACCCCAAGCTTGACCAAGTCTCACTTCAACATCATGAGATGTAGATGAACAATAGCTTCCTGTGTACTTGAAGTCTCTATTTGTTCAATTTGACCCTTCAAGAACATGAATTATAGGTGGCGATGGGTCAACGTGGATAGACTGTGTTCCCACAGTATTCAAATTTAGACTGATAGCTTTTGGCTGTCTGTCTTTTTGTTAGGTTTTGTGCAGTAGACCTTCAGCTTCATATATATCGAATCTTCAAGAATGGCAATATCATCAGCAAAGTCTAGATCAGAACTTCAGCTGGATGTCTAGTACTACACCTCAGCCTTCCATGGGTGAAATTGCTGTTGGCAGTGCATAATCAAGGCAGACAAAATAAACACGAATGGAGCTAAGGGGTCACCGAAGTACGCCTGTGTCGATGCTGAATCTTTCCGTCTCTCACCAGATGGCGTTAAGACCAATGCATAGTGTCAGTGTACATTACCTTGATTGCATCTACCGTTCTAGCAGGGATACCATAAGCTGGAAGGATTTTCATAGGGATATTTCTATTGATCGAGTCAAAAGCCATACAAAAATCGATAAAGATAAAGACTGCCTCTTTGTGATGGTTCCTTACCACCTCAATGATCCTCCTCAACGCTAGAATGTGTGCGGTTGTTGATCGAGACTGCCGAAAGCCATTCTGATTGTGGCTTAAAACCTCATTTAGTGCAGCAGGGCGTATCATGTTCAAAATCAGGCGATTATATATCTTATGAATGATATAATACAATATAATATAATATAGGCATAATATAATATACCGGTAATATAATATAATATATATTAATATAATATACTATATATTATCATCTTTACTTTAGTTTTCATCAGCAGAGGTATTTCTCCATATCATGATATACTACAGTCATGTGATTACAGTATCTAAACTGACTCCACTCGCAATTAATACGACTGCTCTGAGCAAAATACCAAATTTGGCGAATGTACGAAATTAAGGAGCTTTCACGATAGGACGTAAAACGTAATGGCGTCGTCTGCGCATGCGAGAACGTTTGGCCGAATCTACTTTGTGCAGAGAACGTAGGACGGTAACGCATGAGTGAATCCGCTCTACCGTACGTCCCGTCGTCACGCAATTTGAAAGATACCTATTGATGTGTTGAAACTGCCAACTATTTGCCATTCACGGATGCAAATTAGTTTTAGACAATTGTTCTCCTGAAATAAAATTTAGTACTTTAGGCCTACCGTAGTTGCTCGAATAAGCGCCCCGGTGCTTATTTGAGAGTGGCGCTTATAAAAGAAAAAATGGCCTGGCGCTTTCCATGCCTGTTCCCATGTAACCTATTTCACATATTCCCGTAGTTTCAGTAGGCCTATCATAGGTGCTGTCATCGTAAACAAACGTTTATAAAGAAATGATTGTGTCTTCATTGTTTTAGTTATTCATTTTAAAACTGTATACATTGTATTTAAAACCCTGTTTTATTAAACACAGTGTACTATTATATACTTTCGATTAAGCGCCGCGGCGCTTATTCGTGAGCACGCTTAACGAAAAACAAAAATCACGCTTGGAGCGCGGCGCTTATTCGAACATTTACGGTACTTCAAATTTGTATAATGTTAATAATTTAATAAGTACCTTTTTTAGACCCTGGCCCAAGTTTTTGGACCGAATTTCTTTTCGACTGGTATAAATAAGAACGTATTTAAATTTAAGTTCAATAGGCTGTCACGCTCTACCTTTAAATGGCATGATTCAGTCAGCCACCTGTTAGATGCGAGTCAATTATTGTGTAGGCAAAACATTAGTAGTTAATTTCTTGTTAGGAAACATTGACTGTCATTGACATTTAATGTGCCCATCACTGATAAGTAAAGCTTCCATATCTATAAATTGTATAATATATTTACTTACTAATTGTCATTCAATGATTTACTGCGTGTTCTTTCTTGTTGTAAAGGGCATTGGACGCTTTTCCGCGGAATGCACTATAAAAGAATGGAGTTATTATTAATATTATTATTATCATAAAGGTGTTAAATAATTTACTTTTGAACAGATATCAGAATTAACAATGGAAATACTACTGAATGGATTGGACTTGTAGAAACGTTACATAATGGACAATGGGGTAATATATGCTTGGAGGACTTTGACGACATGGCAGCCAAAGTATTTTGTTATCAACTTCACATGACCGAGGCGGCTTTAGTCTTTGGTAAACCACAAGACCTACCTGTATTTATGCAGGGCTTGAAATGCCATGGCAACGAAACAATGCTAGCAAATTGTTCAGTTGCAACATGGGGAAACTACACATGTAGCAGTGGGTCAGTTGCCTCAATTAAGTGTCGAGGTTAGTTCAATTTCGGTCTTTGACATAAGTTACTAATTATCATTAGCTTTTTTAAATTCAAATTTCTGTAGGGACAAAAACACCGCTGGCAATTATGGACCATTCTGTTAGGCCCAATTCAACATACTAGAACTTTCTTGAGCTTCGGAGCTGTTGCTCCTAAACCCCACCTGGTAGGCCTCTAGGCGGCTTATGGCTCTTTAGCAAATCAATTCAGCATATTTTCCTATACCAGGAAATACATAATTACAATTTATCATAAGCCTGGTTCTCACGAGAGCCCTAGTATCCGGATCGGGAGCTAACCGTTATCGCTAACCGTTAGCACCTGCGTGGGTGACGCCCGATCGGTTAGCGCTAACCGTTAGCGGTATCCCGCTAACGGTTAGCAAGCGCTATCGGTTAGCAAGTTGAGGGCGTTTCTATCATCAACCAATCACACGTACGCGTTTACAATTTCCAGTTTCTTATTGGCCAGTGATTCGATCATCATAATAATTGTTAATATCCGGATCGCGATTTTTTTTTTTTTTTTTTTTTTTTTTTTTTTTTGCATGAAACTCCACTCGGGCTGTCTCGACTGACATCCGGATCGGGATTTTCTCGCATTGACGCACGGCAGCTAACGGTTAGCTGGATCCGGATCCTGCTAACCGTTAGCTGCCGTGTGAGAACATAGCATATGAGGATTAACACATTGATAAACAAAATTGTTACCTGTTATTTTTAAAAAGAATATTTGTTTTAGCAATGTGCAGTCTTATCAAGAATAATATGTCTTCAATTGCTAGAATCTGGAAATGTTCGCCTGCGTGGCGGTGTTAATGAGGGCGAAGGTCGTGTTGAGATTTTCTATGGTGGGTCCTGGGGAACTATATGTGATGATGACTTTGCTATTGAAGAAGCAGAAGTTGTTTGCCGTCAACTTGGCTTTGTTGGGGCTAATGCAGACACTCCAGTTCGGAAGTTCGGTCAAGGAACTGGCCAGATCCATCTGGACAACCTCGCCTGTACAGGAGCGGAAAATCGTTTAGATGAATGCCGTCATCCTAATTGGGGAGATCACAATTGTGGGCACCATGAAGATGCAGGAGTAGTCTGCGACACATCAGGTTAGTCATTCTCACTTTGCTTCACTTTGACGATAACCAATCACCAATAGCCTTCAACAACATTTCAGTGGCTAACACAAATGGTTTAAATGTAACGGATTATACCAGCTTCCAAATCCTATATTAATTGATAGTGCTCCCAAACAGGAGCGGATTTAGGGGGGAGGGGAGCGGCCCGAACCCCCCTCCCTTTTTGGGAGGTAAAAAAAAAAGAGAAAAAAAAGAAAAAGAAAAAATGATAGCCCAGAACGCCTCAAATGTTATTTTCGAGCGTCTAGAACACAAAAATTCGCGGGGACATGCCCCCGGACCCCCTAGGACAGTGTTGTCTCGATCGGCCCAACTTTCGCCCCCCCCCGCCCCCCCCCCCCCGTTTGGACATCCCTGGATCCGCCCCTGCCAAACGCTGGGTTTGATTCACGATAAGACACATACGTTCCGGTTTTGTTTCTATAATGCTTCGAAGCTAAAATATTCTACATTTTTAAAATGTATTGTAATTTGTAGTTGTCAATTTTTTTGATGTATTTTAATGTTGTTTTCATACGCAGTTAAGCCATGTGCTGCAAGGTATGCAGTTTATTGGAAGGCTTGAATAAATATAGCTCAAAACCATAAAACCTCGAAAATAAGTTATGAACTTTTTTTAGGAACCCTGCATGGGTCTCTTTTCGAGAGTGGCTTCCTTTCGAGATTACTTTTACGAACTAAATAGGGGGAGGGCTTCTTTTCAGAATGAATGCTGTAAATTTTGGTTTTGCTAATATATGATATTTTTTCAACTCTTGAATGCCAAATTTCGTTTAATATTTCTTAACTTTTAACAATGCTAGTACAATAAAATAATATTGATACTGATGCGCTATCGTAATAATTAAAGAAAACGTCGGTCTGAATGTAAGTACTATCTTGAAAGCCCATCTTATCTTTATTAAAAGCCAATTGGCTACTTGTTTTGGTCTAAACTAAAAAATAAATATTATGATTCATCCAATGAAATTCCAATTAGTTTATTCTTCGAACATTTTAAAACTTTATTTGAAAACGTTAATATTAATAACAGTGATCATTTACAAACTGAAAATTTCCAAGCGGAATTTAATAGAAATTTAAACAATTTAAATGAAGAAATATCCGTTGATGAAGTACAACAAGCTTTTAAATTACAAAAGAGAGGAAAGGCACCAGGAATTGATGGATTAATCATTGAAATATTTATCCACTCACCAGATTTTGTTATTGATTTAATTACAAAACTTTATAACGTGATATTTAAAACGGGAATATATCCTACCCAATGGGCAACAAGTCTCATTATTCCGATTTACAAAAAGGGTAGCAAAAATAATCCCAGTAATAATAGGGGCATTTCATTGATTCCACTACTTGGTAAGGTTTTTCTTTACATAATAAATACTAGATTAAATAATTGGGCAGAAGATAATAATTTATTTCATCAGGAACAAGCAGGTTTTAGGAAGGGTCATCGGGCCATGGATAATGTTTTTATTTTAAACACAATAATTCATAAATATTTATCAAAAAAAAGAGGAAGAGTATATGTTGCGTTTATTGATTTAAAAAGAGCCTTTGATTCAATTGATCATCAGTTTCTTATATTTAAATTAAAGAAAGAAGGTTTAAAACAAAATATACTTAACATTATTATTTCAATGTATGACAAACTTTCTGCCCATGTAAAAGTTGGAAGTATTATCAGTAATCAATTCAGATGTTTAATTGGTATTCAACAAGGGTCACCTCTATCCTCTTTTCTTTTTAATTTATTTATTAACCATTTAAGTAAAATATTAAATACATCGGAACGTACACATAAAATTCAAATTGGCGATTTTCTCATTAACCATTTACTTTATGCAGACGACCTTGTTCTTATGAATGACACTGTTTTTGGTTTGCAATCTTCTCTAAACAAATTGGCTGTCTATTGTGATAAATGGGGTCTTACTGTTAATATTGAAAAAGTAATGTCGTTTTTAAAAATGGGGGAAAAATTTAAAAAAAATAGAAAAATGGTATTCTTACAATTATCTTGGTGTAGTGTTTAATTCAAATGGCACATGGACGAATGCAATTAGTTATAACTGTACAAAAGCAAACAAACTCTTTTTACTTTAAAACGATTAATACATAACCAATTTGGCAACTTACCAATACATTTGTGGAACAAAATTTTTGATGTAAAAATAGTACCAATATTAATGTATAGCAGTGAGATCTTGGGAATCAATGACATACCAATTATTGAAAAATTTCACTCTAGGTTTTGCAGATTTATTTTAGGAATAGGCAGCACAGCTCCAACTATGGCAGTTATGGGTGAATGCGGGAGATTTTCACTTTCTGTTGCTGGTATTAGAAATGCTTTACGTTATTGGTTACGTTTAATTAATGCAGATAATAAAAGTTGTATTTACAGTTGTTATAGATTCCTGTTAAGAAGATTACAGTCCAACGATAAATCTTGGTTGTACTTTATTAAGAAGAAATTATGTTCAATTGGTTTTGGTATAAATTGGTATGAACAATATGTTGAGAACAATGTTGCTTTTATATCTGAAATAACT